ATGGCGTCAAATGTGGCGGCGGTAGTGAGGTTGGCCCAGGATCAGACATTGTTTCGTTCTGCTGTGCATGGGGTCGCTATGAGTTGGTTCTGACTCGATGGCACCTGACAACAACAACTCACTATGCAAAAATAAATAAATAAATAAACAAAAAAAAAATAAACCCAAATGGATCATGACAAGCTTTGGCACTGTGGAGAATGAGTATTCCAGAACATTTAATTGTGCTCATGAGGAACCTGTACATAGCCAAAGAGGCAGTTGTTCAAATGGAACAGGGAACACTGAACGGTTTAAAATCAGGAAAGATGTGTGCCAGGGTTGAAGTCTTTCACCATACTTATTCTAAAAGAAAGCATCAAAAGATGGAAGAAATATACAGAGTCACTGTACCAAAAAGATATGATCGATGTTCAACTACTTCAAGAGGTAGGATGTTTGAAGAGCCAATTATCCTGAAGGAAAAAGCCCAAGGTGCATTGAAGGAATTGGCAAAGAACAAGGAACTGGGAACAGATGGAATACAAATTGAAATCTTTCAACAAACTGATGCAGCACACTCATCTATGCCAAGAAATTTGGAAGACAACTATCCGGCCAACTGACTGGCAGAGATCCATATTTGTGTACATTACAAAGAGAGGTGACCCAACAGAATGCAGAAATCGTCAGGCAGTATCATTGATATTCCATGCAAGTAAAGTTTTACTAATGGTAATACCAAAATGGCTGCAATCCTACATTGACAAAGAGCATCCAGAAGCTCAAGCTGGACTGAGAAGTGGACCTGGAACAAGGGATATCATTGCTGATGTCCGATGGATCTTGGCTGAATACCAGAAAGACATTTACCTGTGCGTTACTGACTATGCAAAGGCTTTCGATTGTGTAGATCATGAGAAGCTATGAACAACTTTGCAACATATACGTATGCCAGAACACTTAATAGTGCTCATGAGGAACCTGTGCATAGACCAAGAGGCCGTTATTCGAACAGAACAAGGGAATACAGAATGTTTTAAAATTAAGAAAGGTGTGCACCAGGGTTGTATTACTTCATCAAACTTAATCACCTTCAGTATGGATTGCATCGCAATGTAAAGAAAACAAAAATCCTCACCACTGGACCAATAAACATCATCCATATTAATGGTGAAAAGACTGAAGCTGTCAAAGGCTTTATTTTGCTTGGATCAACCATTAACACTCATGGAAGCAGCAGTCAAAAAACCAAACAACATATTGCATTAGGCAAATCTGCTGCACAAGACCTTTTTGAAATGTTGAAGAGCGAAGATGTCAGTTTGAGGACAAGTGCACCTGACTCACGCCATGGTATTTTCAATAACCTCATAGGTATGCAAAAGTTGGACAATGAATAAGGATGACCAGAGAAGAACTGATGCATTTGAGTTATGGCGTTAGAGAAGAATACTGAAAGTACCAGGGACAAATAGATCTGTGTTGGAAGTACAGCCAGAGTGCTCCTTAGAAGCCAGAATGGCCAGACTTCATCTCTCATACTTCAGATATATTGTCAGAAGGAACCAGTCACTGAAGGATATCATAATCGGTAAAGTGGAGGGTCGGAGAAAAAGAGAAAGATCCCTAATGAGAAGGATTGGCACAGTGGTGCCAGCGATGGGCTCATGCATAGCAATGAATGTGAGGTTGGCCCAGGACTGGGCAGTGTTTCATTCTGAAGCACATAGGATCTCTATGAGTCAGTAATGGCTCAATGGCACCTAACAACAACAACAATCCAATCTGTATTCTAAGAAAATAATCTGAAAAGCTGGATTACATGAAGAAGAACGTGCCAACAGGATTGGGGGACGACTCATTAACAATGCAGATAATAAAATCTTGCCTGCTGAACATAATCAAAGACCATAGCCATTGGATTGAACCCAATGTAATGAAAACAAAATTCCTTACTTCTGGACCATCATGATAAATGGAGAAAAGCTAGAAGTTGTTAAAGACTTCATTTTGCTTGGACATACCATCAACATTCATAGAAGCAGCAGTCAGGAAATCAAGCAATATATTACATTACACAAAAATCTGCTGCAAAAGACCTGTTTTAAAGTGTTCAAGAGGATGTCAGTTTTAGGACTAAGGTGTGCCTCACCCAAGCCTAATATGCATGTGAAAGTTGGACTCTGAGTTAAGACGACCAAAGAAGAACTGATGCATTTGAGTTATGTTGTTGGAAAAGAATATTAAAAGTGTCATGGAATGCCAAAGGAACAAAAAAATTTGTATTGGAAGAAGTACAACTAGATTGCTGCATAAATTGGCTAAACTTTGTCTTCTTATACATTGGACATAGAATCAAAATGGACCAGTCCCAGGAGAAGCACATCAAGCTTGGTAAAGTGAAGGGTAGTCGCAAAACAGATCCCACCAAGACTGATTGTAGCGGCGGCAGCAATGGGCTCAAGTGTAATGACGATTGTGACATTGGTGCATGACCAAGTTTTCGTTCTGTTGTGTATAAGGTTGTTATGAAGTCAGTACCAACTCAATCACCTAACAATATCATTTAAGCTGAACCAATTGTTTATACAATTAGTATCAAATAAAGTTTATAAAAATGAATCAGTATACTCCAAGATCTGACTGCAGTTCAATTATACTTAGTACATATTGGTTTCTGTTACCTACCTCCTTCTGAAAGCCAGTACAAGCAAAATGAACAACTCCTGAGTTTAACAAACAAGTGGCATCTTAAAAAAAAAAAAAAAAAGGAATTAAAATACTCATCTGCATATTACATTTACTAAACCATTAGTAGAACAAAATTTATTCTAAAAATTGATTGCAAGGCAAGGAGCAAAACCTAGTAATAATAAAGCAGCATTTTCTCTGAGCCTTACCATTTTAACTTAGATTTAATTATAAAAATTATTTTAAAAGTACTAAATATTCCTGGTGTGATGCTGTAGGGTAAACAATGGGCTGCTAAATGAAAAGTCAATGGTTCAAACCCAACAGAAACTCTATACTGGGTTGCTATGAGTCAAAACTGACTGGATGACACTTAACAACAACAATAAACTATAAAATAGTTAATCTGTTTACCAGCAAATTCAAACTCACAACGGTAATGTCTGTATAAAGCATTAAACTCTTAAGTATTAAATTTCTCATGTTGTTGCTTTTGTTAACTGCTATGGAGCAGATCCAACTCATAGCAACCCTGTATAGGGTTTCCAAGTAGCAGCTTGTTGAATTTGAACCGCCAACCTTTGGTTCAAACCGACCTTGAGGTCCAGTGCTTTATCCCACAACCACCACCAACCCTTTCCTGAAAAATCTGAATGACTCTATTTATACTATTGGAGTCCTGGTGTGGTGCTGTGGGTTAATGCGCCAGACTGCAAAGCCATTTGAACTGCAAGGTTGGTGCTTCAAGCTCACCAGCTGCTCCTTGGAAATGCTATACAGGGTTGCTATGTGTCAGAACTGACTCATTGGCACTTAACAACAACATTTATACTATCATATAATAACAGCAATTTTGGCATTCTCAAGGGACTCAAATTATGTTCCTTTTAAATGTTATATGAGTTTGAGAAACAAAAAGTACCCTGAAGGGGCAAGATCAGGGTTGAAGGGTGGACATGGATGACGTAAGTTTTACCAACTAAAATCTCACAGGCCAGGTCCTGAAGAAAGAGCAGGTGTACTGTGGTGATGGAAAAAAAAATCTCTACTTTAATCTCACCAATACAGCTTTCAATTTTCTTAGTTAAGCCCCCATGACTGTCCTTGTCCTATGAGAAAATCTTTTTTGGAATCCCAAGAAACAGCTGACCCCTCTGTCTTGAATTTAACTGGCTCAGCAAGGTCAGTTTGACCTGCAAGGTTGGCGGTTCAAATCTACCAACTGCTCCTCAGAAAACCTATACATGGTCTCTATGAGTCAGAAGTGACTTGATGGCACTAACAACAAGAACAACAATGGTAGGTCCTTAGGAACCCACTGTTTTAATTCGACTTATTTTTGAAAGCCCCCTAATGAGACTAAGACAAGTGTATTACTGAGATAATTTGTCTGCAGGCATCCACTGATTGCAGAGACAGGTTTAACACATCGTATATGGAATAAACTTATGCATTTATAAACTGGAATTGTAGTGATGGTGGTATGCCAGGGAGTCAGTTCTGACCCATAGCGACCCTGCATAGGGTTTCCAAGTCTGTAAATCGTTACGGAAGCAGAAAGCCTCATCTTTCTCCCGCAGAACAGCTGGTAGTTTCGAACTGCTGACCCTGAGGTTAGCAGCCCGATTTGTAACCAATACGCTACCGGAAATCCTTGGAATCCTAGTAGCAACACTTTTGCCTTACTCTTGTATATAAACTACACAAAAATACAAATCTACATACTTTCTGCATATTAAGTTTCTCAAAAGATAGTATCAAAGATATACATACCAAAATTGTAAGTACTTGGGTTAAAAAACTGCTCAGGAGGTGGATACAAAGGAGGAACTCCTCGACTTAAACTTCTCTCATGTACTAATATATCCAAGATGTAATGGGGAGAAGTCCTACTTACAACAGAATCCAATGACCACAGTGCAAAATAAGAGCAATTATGTAGATATTCTCCCGATCTAAAATAAAATATTTACAAAAATTACTAAGTCACTGATCTGTTAAATATATAAATACTGAAAGGAAAAAAGAGAGAAAGGCATTAAACATACCTTAATGAATCTGGCATTTGTGCATGATACCAACGATTTATGTCGAAAAGCCCCAAATATATGGAAGGCTTTCCTTGTCCATATATATTCACTTGCCAGGTAAAGACTGAAACACTGGTGTCAGGAGATAGAGCTGAAAGAGGAAAATAAAAATTTTAAAAACCTCAAAATAAAATTCCTCCAAAAGAATTACAGCAAACAATATGACCAAGGCAAAGAAAAGGCATTGGGTGGTACAAAAGATTAAAGGGCAACAATGGTAAATACACACTCCTGTAATAATGAACAGTAATCTATGAGCGAATCCATAGGTAGACATGTAAGTAGTATTGGTGTGGAATGACACTTGGGATTACACCCACTAATATATATAGGTTTGACAAGGAATATTTAGACTTACATATCTGCATATGCTACAACTACAACTATGTATAGTCCTGGTGTGGCACTGCAGGATAATGCGCTGTACTGCAAGGTCTGTTTGAACCTCAAGGTCGGCAGTTCATGCTCACCATCCGCTCCTCAGAAACCCCATACAGGGGTTGCTATGAGTTGCTGCAGATTTAACAGCACTCGACAACTATAGTAGAGCATACAAATGGCAAACTTACCAAAACTTTTTAGCCATAACTCAGTATCTTCAAGGGAGTAAGTTACTGGGCTTGGGATCTTAGGACCATAGTCTTGAGGGTCATTATCTAGGTTAACTAGCAAAACATACTCCACAAAGACAATATTCTACATCCAATTATGGTGAGCTGTGACTGGGATCTCATAAGTAGTAATCCAAAATCCTAAACAAGACCAGATTTACTGGTCTGACAAGAGACTGGTGGAACCCCTGAGATTACCGTCTTTATAAGAAGTCCTGGTGTGGCACTATAGGGTAAGCACTGGACCAAAAGGTTGGTTTGAACTGTAAGGTCAATGGTTCAAATACAGCAGCCAACCTTCAGAAATCCTACACAGTGCCACTATCAGTCAGAGCCAATTTAATGGCATTAACAACAACAATAGTCTTCAAAGCTGGAAATGAATCCACCCCCATGATTATCTTTCGCAAACAATAGGCTGATAAATTGAACAATAACAGACAGTAGAATATGCGTCTTAGAATCATCAACCATACTAGAGCAAAACAGCAGTCGCCCTCCAAAAAGTTCAGAATATAAGAAGGAACAAGAAACACAAATAGAAACAGAGAAGTACTGCTACAATGAGGAGATTGCAACTAATGTCATGAAACAAAATGCATATAAATTGAATGGAAAACCTATTAACCCTGTAAACTTTCAAACCAAACTACAACAAAATGTTAAAAAAAAGAATAGCAATATTGTCCCTCAAATTTATGTTTCATTCATTATTTTAATTTGATTTTTCAATATTTTTCTATCATTTGTTATCTAAGAAGAGATTCAATTGTATCTAGAATCATTTATATTTTGGTTATCTTCTATTTTATTTTATCACCTAGTGTGTGAGGTACTGGAAGTGCAAAGTATGAAGGAATTTGAATATTCTCAAGGATGGTATTCAGCTAGGACCAATGGATACCCTATGGCACTGGGGTTTAATTCTTTGGTGGTACTGCTGTTTGTTAAGTGCTGTCAAGTCAGTTCCGACTCACAGCAACCCTGTACAGGGTTTCCAAGGAGAAGCTGGTGAGTTTGAACCACTAGCCTTGCAGTTCAAAGCGACCTTATGGTCAAGTGCCACACCAGATCCTTTCTTTGTTTGAGAAGGGGGAAAAGTACTTGGATGATGGCTTTGGGAATAGAAAGAAAGAATGTCAATAGAAGAATGATTATCAAATAAAGGGAATGAAAGAGATGACAAAATTAAAAAATCAGAGACAGTACTAATGGGAATATAATGAAGACATAAGTAAGGAAGAAGAGATAGAACATGATGATGCCTGTTTTTGACATGCTTAATTGGATGTGAAAATTAAATCATGCATACATGTGGGAACTAGGCTGGAAAGCATGTCTAGAATGGATGGGCACAACAAACGAATGTATTGTTGTTAGGTACCATCAAGTCAGTGCTGACTTATAGTGACCTTATACACAAAAGAACAAAACATTGCCCAGTTCCGTGCCATTCTCACAATTGTTGATATGCTTCAGCAGTGTCAATCCATCTTGTTAGGGGTCTTCCTCTTTTTTGCTGACCCTACACTTTACCATGCATAATGTTCTTCTCCATTAAGTATTCTTCACTTTCAGTAAACAAGGCTGTATCATCTGTATATCACAGGTTGTTAATGACCCCTCCTGATAAAAGTCTAAAGTATGAGAGATGGAACCTCACCATTGTTGCTTCTAAGGAACACTTTAGTCGTATTTCATCCAACACTGATTTGTTTGTTCTTATGGCAGACTATAGTATTGTCAATATTACTCTCTAATACCATTACTCAAATGCATCAATTCTTCTATGGTCTTCCTTATTCACTGTCCAACTTTCACATGTATACGAAGCAACTGAAAATACCATGGCTTGGGTCAGGCACACCTTAGCCTTGAACACTTTAAAGAGGTCCTGTGCAGTAGATTTGTCTAGTACTATTGATACATTGTTTGATTTCTTGAGTGCTACTTCCCTGAGTGTTAACTGTAGATCCAAGAAATTTCAATCTTTTTACCCATGTATCATGATTTATTGGCTATTTATTGATCCAGTTGTGGGATTTAATTTTCTTTACAGTGAGGTGCAATCCAAAAAGAAGGCTGTGGTGTTTGATCTTTTATCAGTAAGCATTTTAAGTATTCTTCACTTTCAGTAAACAAGGCTGTATCATCTGTATATCACAGGTTGTTAATGAGTCTTCCTCCAATCCTGATACTATGTTCTTCTTCATATAATCCAGCTTCTCTGATTACTCAGCATATAGATTGAAGAAGTATGGTGAAAGAATACAACCTTGGCACACACCTTTCATAATTTATACCATTCAGTGGCCCCCTGCTCTGTTCAAACAACTGCTTCTTGATCTATATACAGGTTCCTCAGGAGCCTAATTCAGTGTTCTGGAATCCCCATTCTTTACAATGCTATCCACAGTTTGTCATGATCCACAGTCGAAAGCCTTTACATAGTCAATAAAGAACAAATAAACATATTTTTGGTATTCTCTACTTTTACCCAAAATCCATCTGTCAGCAATGACATCCCAAGTTCCTTATTTCCTTCTGAATCCAGCTTGAGTTATCGGCAGTTCCCTGTTGACATATTGCTGCAGCCATTTTGAAATTATCTTCAGCAAATTATTTACTTACATGTTATATTAATAATATTATTCAACGATTTCCTCATTCTGTTGGGTCGCCTCTCTTTTGAAGGAGCTAGATAGCTATCTTTCAAATGTACTGGTATAGATGGTTGAGTGCCTGCAGTGCTGCACTAGTTTGTTGAAAGATTTCAATTTGTAGTGTGTTAATTTCTAGAGCTGTGCTTCTTGGCAATACTTTCAGTGCATCATGGACTTTCCCTTCCAATATCATCATTATTCTTGATCATATGCAACCTCTTGAAATGGCTTAATATAAATCAATTTTTTTGGTATAGTTACTCTGTGTATTTCTTCCATCTTCTTTTGATGCTTTTTGCATCATTATCATGGTCAGCTTTACTCTGGGAAGGCAACTCAATTCTGAGCGCCTTCCAAACTAAGGGGCTCGCTCATCTTCTTGTACTATGTCTAACAATATTCTGGTGCTATTCATAATATTTTCATTATAAGGAAGAGATTCAAGAGAAGGATTAGGAAATGTTTTATTAAAGATGTAGCTTTTAGATTGAACTATATATAAGAAGTCCTGGTGGGGCACTACAGGATAAACACTAGACCTGAAGATCAGTTTGAACCACAAGGTGGTGATTCAAACCTATCAGCTGCTCCTTGGAAATGCTTTACAGGGTGTCTATGAGTTGGAATCGACTCAACAGCACTTAACAACAACCACCACCAACATTCAGAAGTAGCCCACCTCTCTTTCTTCTGTCTGTTTTAGTTTGGAAGCTCTGCTGAAACTTGTCCACCATCAGTGGCTGTACTGTTATTTGAAATACCGGTGGCACAGCTTCTAGTATCACACAACATGCAACTAACCACAGTATGACAAACTGACAAGATGAGGAGTGGCACCAAATGAATACAGACCATTAAAACACAAAACAACCAGGGACCTGGTGAGTACTCTTAAAACAGAATAGTAGATAACAGGCATTACTATCACAATAGCTCATTTAATCCATTTAATCCTTTAACCTTTTAACAAAGGTATTATCTCATTTACAGATGGGAAAACAGGTTTAGGAATGTCAAAGACTATTAGCTAGTAACAAGTTTCAGATTTGCATTCATATTTTTACTATAGTAGAATTCTTCCTAGGAAGAAAGGATGATACTAAAGAAACATTTCAAGATAACCAAGACATGCTTGTCATGCATGTCTCAAAAAAGAGGGAAAAAAAGTATTCAGAAATTAAGAGGCATTCTTTAGACTCTATTGTAATCCTTTTAATAAAACAGGATAGACAGTTTCAGTAGAGATACTCTGCTGATTAGTTCACCATTAGGACTAGAAACCATTTTTGTTTATCGACTGAGCTGGATTAAAATACAAGGGGCCCTCATTTAACAACTGAATTCTATATAGCAATATGTTGTTGTTAAGTGCCATCCAGTCAGGTTCTACGCATAGTGACCTGTATAGGGTTTTCAAAGAGCTGCTGGGGTGTTTGAACCACCAATCTTGTAGTGCTTATCCTACAGCACCACACTAGCTCACATAACAATCTAGAGAACAAGAAATATCTAACATTTCATAAAGAACTGACAAAATTCCATATTTTTATTGTGACTTCTAGGAATAAGAACTCTAGAAATCAATAATGTGTCATAATATGAAATCGCTGACATATATGATACAATAAAAGTTTAACCAACCTTCACTCATACCTTCCTCTCTGTCACCATGAGATCGAAATTTCTCTATACTCTGGCATCCCAACAGTTTGGTATTAGTAGTCTGTCCTCTCAAAGGAAACATGCCACCTGTGAGGTCCAGTGTGTACCTTTCTTCACAGTATTCTAATCCCTGAAACATAAAATGCACAAACTTAATCTTTTCTTAGTATTCTAAGCAAAAATATCATTCTATAATTTAACATTCTTCAGATTTGAAGCTTTGCACATAAAACAAAATCCTTTTTAAACTACAAAGTTAAAGATATAAGAAAACAAACTATGAAAAATGCTCCAGATAAAATGCTAGGCTGACTCGCTCATGATTAATCACCAACAAATGTTGTAGATTTCTTATTAAATATGTTGCTGTTGTTAAGTGTTATCTAGTCAGTTCTGAATCATAATGACCCTGTATAGGGTTTCTGAAGAGCAGCTGGTGAATTTGAACTTCCCACCTTGTGGTTAGCAGTCAGTGCTTATTCTACAGGACTCAAATATGAAAACCTTAGTAAGATGGACAGGAGTGTAAACTGGAACAAAGCTTTGATATTACATTATATTATAATAACACAATTACATTACATTTATAGGATAGCAGTTCCATTTGTTTTGTCTCACAAAGACTCATGCTTGAGAATATTTCTTGTTGCTAAGTGCTATTAAGTCAATTCTGACTCACAAAGACCCTGTATAGTTTCGAAGGAATAGCTGGTGGGTTTGAACTGCCAAAGAACAGTTAAACAGACCAATGTTTCTAAAACTTTGTTCAACTCATCAATTCCCTTAAGATTCTGACAAAGCTATATATATCTAGCCCTAGAAAATGCATAATCATAAAAGCGCTAGACTTAATTTCAAGGACTTGATGGATATCCTAAAACCATATATCCCTCAAAGGCTAGTTTAATAAACTGTTCTATAGACAGGCATTGTGAAGACTAGCAAAACATGGCTATCAGTAGTGTTCCACTTTCCTTGGAAATTCAGCCAGAGAAAAAAGGCAGTGATGTCAACTCATCTGAAAGACTGGATTCATTAAAAAGGAATCTTTTTTACAAATATAAATGAGAGGGTCATTTATAAAGTCATCTCACAGCTTACTGCTTGATATGCTAGCTCCAAGCAACTAAAACAAGCAACAGCTATTTTCTCTATTTACCAATTAGGCCATAAGCTCAAGTCTTGTCCAACCTAATATTCAAGGAAAATGACACTTGGAGATTTAAAAATTTTACCTAATTAAAATAACTAATGTGCTCCTTAATGTTTCTTTCACCACATTATGACTCCAATATTAAGTAGAATAGAAAAGTAACTTTTTAATGGTGGTGTTGTTATGTGCCGTGGAGTCAGTTCCGACCCATAGCGACCCTGTACAGGGTTATTGAGGCTTTAATCTTTATGGGAGCAGAAAGCCTCATCTTTCTCCCGCGTAACAGCTGGTAGTTTCAAACTGCTGACCTTGTGGTTCGCAGCCCGATTCGTAACCACTACACTACTAGAGTGCCTTATCTTAAATTAAAGGTAACAAGCTAGGTAAACAATTAATAAAATGGTACTCTTTACCTCATATAAGATTTGTCCTGAGGCCAAACACTTTCTATCACCAAAGGCCAGCTGAAGCAGATGTAAACTCAAAACATCCCCTTCACTGAAAGACACAACAATTAACCAAGGAGATAAATAAAATATTCTATTAATACATTAAACATCTTTATTCTCCAAATAAATTTAGTCTGCAACACTGAGTGCATGTGAGAAAACTAAGGTCACTAAGAAAAAATTAAGTTTTCTTTGGTTGTTTCACAAAATATTATTGTTGTTGTTGTTGTCAGGTGCCATCGAGTCAGAACCGACTCATAGCGACCCCATGCACAGCAGAACGAAACAATGTCCGATCCTGGCCCAACCTCACTACCACAGCCACACTTGACGCCATCAATGATGTCACCTGGCTGATCCATCTCGTTGGGGGTCTTCCGCTTTTTCTCTGACCCTCCACCTTACCCAGCATGA